TGATCGATTTCAGACTGAAGAAGTTGGTAGAATTCTTCTATTTCATCTTCACTGGCTTTAGTGGTTGGTGCATAAATTTGAATAATAGTGATATTAACTGGGCTTCCCTGTAGGTGCATTGATATTATCCTGTCACTTATAGCATTGTACCTCATGACTGATCTGGATATGTTTGTTCTTTTTGACGATGAATGCAACACCATTCTTTTTCAATTTGTCATTCCCGGCATAGTAAACCATGTGGTTGTCAGATTCAGAATGGCCAATACCAGTCCATTTTAGCTCACTAATGCCTAAGATATCGGTGTTGATGCTTTCCATTTCATTTCTGACAACTTCCAATTTTCCCAGGTTCATACTTTGTACATTCCATGTTCTGATTTTCAGTGGACGTTTACAGCCGTTTCTCTTCATTTTGAGTTGTGGCCCATCAGCAAATGAAGGTTCTGTGGGCTTTTCTCCCCCGAGCTTAACTCTATATTCACGTCATCATAGTGAACTCAACTTTGAGGAGGCATTTTTTTTCCAGTCGCATTCTGAGTGCTCCCCCACCTTCTGGTCCTGTATCTGACAGTGTTTCTCTGCTATTCGTAGAGTTTTCAGTGACTAGCGATTCGGAAGTAGTTTGTCACTCTTTCTTCCTGTCATCTATTGTGTCACTATATACTCATATATACTTTTATATATCATACACTCACAGCGCCCCCTGGTGTAACGGAGGAGAACTGCCCCATAGGGTTTCCTAGGCTGTCATCTATTGTGTTACTATATACTCATATATACTCTTATATATCATACACTCACAGCGCCCCCTGGTGGAACAGAGTAGAACTGCCCCACAGGGTTTCCTAGGCTGTCATCTATTGTGTCACTCACATATGCTCTTATATATCATCCACTCACAGAGCCCCCGTGTGACAGAGTACTCTTATAAGGAGCTCTGGTAGCGTAGTGGTTACAAATCAGGCTCCAAACCTTAAGGTCAGCAGTTCGAAACTACCAGCTGTTCCGCGGGAGAAAGATGAGGCTTTCTGCTCCCGTAAAGATTTACAGCCTCAGAAACCCTGTACAGGGTCACTATGAGTCGGAACCGACTCCACGGCTCATAACAACAACTCTTATAGATCATCCACTCACAGCACCCCCTGGTGTAACAGAGTAGAACTGCCTCATAGGGTTTCCTAGGCTGTCATCTATTGTGTCACTATACACTCATATATACTCTTATAGATCATCCACTCACAGCACCCCCTGGTGTAACAGAGGAGAACTGCCTCATAGGGTTTCCTAGGCTGTCATCTATTGTGTCACTATATACTCATATATACTCTTATAGATCATCCACTCACAGCACCCCCTGGTGTAACAGAGGAGAACTGCCTCATAGGGTTTCCTAGGCTGTCATCTATTGTGTCACTATACACTCATATATACTCTTATAGATCATCCACTCACAGCGCCCCCTGGTGTAACAGAGGAGAACTGCCGTATGGGATTTCCCAGGCTCAGTGGATTAAGCTTTAAGCTGTGTTAGTAGGAACATGCAGAAGTCTGTAAATTCATAGGTTCAAACCCAGCAACTACTCTACAGGAGAGAGATGAGGCTGCCTGCTCCCACGAGGATGACAGCCGTGAACACCCATGGAGCAGTTGTACCCTGTCCTGTAGGGTCGCTATGATTCGGAATTGATGCGACACCTTGAGTGGGTGACATTTAAAAAAAAAAAAAATTTGTATTGTGCATTGAATGAAGGTTTACAGAATAGGTCATCAGTGTTAACAACCAATGGATCATATTCTTTGCGTGAGTCGGTCATCTATAGGAACAGATTGCCAGGGCTTTCTCCTGAGCAGCCGCTGGATGGTGGCTTTGAACCGCCAACCTTCAATTAGCCACACCACCAGAACTCCTCAGGTCGGTGTTGGAATGCATCTTGAATTCGAATGCTCCCTGGCCAAGAGCATTAGAGCAGAGCACTGAAGGATGAAGATGTGGGAAGCAGGGACCACATCCATCCACACTGTTGGAGCGGGTCCTTACCGAGGACTCAGGTGCCTTCCTTGTGTGTGTTCTGGTTCTCCTGATGGGACCTTCACCGTGTGGAATAATGAGTTTCTTCTGGAAGGCACCAGTAGTCAGGAGGGCGTGTGGCTATTAAAAACCACTGCTATTTGAAAACCAGCATTTTCCCTGAGAAATGAAAATAGGAGGTATTAGCTGAGTCAGAAACTTGACTGCCTCGTGAAGCTGTTCAGGAAAACAGTCCTAAAATTGTGGATCTGTGGTTTTCATTTGGACCCAGAACATTGCCAATAGCAACATTCTTAAGACGATGACACCGATTACCAGCCTAGAGACATTAGCAGCTTTTTTTTTTTTTCTTTAACTCTTTATTGTAAATTGAGGGGCGGTTTATGGAACAGATCATGAGTTTTACGTTCAGCAAATCATACACTTTGTTTCATTTCAGTGAGTGCCGTCCCCTCCATGGAACATCACTCAGCCACTTCCTCCCTGTGGTTCTGGTTTCCAATCCACTGTCTTTCCCAGCCCTTGAGAACTCTGTCCTTGGCTTAATGCTGCCCTTTGGATCTTGAATTATTGACCATTCCATGGTGTGCACACCTCACTAGTAGTGTCGCTCCTATAGATGTGTCTGCCCCGTGGCTGTACACTGAGCCATTAGGGTGAGTTAGCCCTAGACCTGAAGGGGGAGAAGGACCGTTGTCTCAAGTTCCTCCAGTTGCTTTCGGGCCAGTCAGTCTGGACTTTTTTATAATTAAGAACTCTTTGTTAACTTAATTATTGTATCTACTAAGTTGGCTTTGGATGAATGTGTATTTCTGTATTATTTTGAAAAGGATACACCATGAATTCATCACTTAGAGTCAGCTACCCTTTTATTTACTGCTCAACACTGTCTAGTCTTCTGACAGGCGAGCAAATGTCTTTAGAAAGGAGGTCTGAATTCATTATTAACTCTGAATCTTAAGGGCCACAGACCTTGGTTAATAAGCACTTGGCTGCTAACCTAAAGGTTGACAGTTCAAACCCACCAGCCACTCCACCGAAGAAAGATGGGGTGGTCTGCTTCCGTAAAATGTGACTGTCCCAGAAGTCCCTGGGGCAGCTCTGCTCTGTCCTGTAGTGTTGCTGAGAGTCGGAATCAACTGAATGATAGCTGGTTTTAATGGGACCTCCACTGAAGTCTCTGAAAGGTCACAGCCTTAAAAACCTCTGCACACTTGGGGTCACCGTGAGTCAGAACCGACTTGACAGCTATGGGTTTGTTTGTCTAAGTGTGTGTGTGTGTGTGTGTGTGTGTGTATGTCCCTGGAGAGGATTGATGATGAACACCCTCAGCTGCTAAACAAAAGATTGACAGTTCTAGGCCACCCAGGAGGATCTGAGAAGAATACACTGACCATTGATTTCCTAAAGAATTAGCCGTTGCAAACCCTATGGCAAATACTTCTTCTCGGACATACACAGGATCACCAAGAGTCAAAACTGACTTGGGGGCAATGGGTTCCCTAGTGCCTAACTCAGATATTTCTCCAGAAACGTAATTGGGCTCACCTCACCTCCCAGGAAGCCCAGTGCCACCCTGACCTCCTTCTCCCACCAGGCGGCTTTGACTTCCTGCGAGAGGACCAGTCGTCACCAGTGCCGGACTCGGGGCTGAGCTCCAGCTCCGCGTCATCCAGCATCAGCCTGGGGGGCAGCAGCAGTAACCTCCCGCAGATGGGCCAGGAGGTGGAGGACGTGCATGCAGCTACGGAGACCGACGAGAAGGCAAACAAGCTCATTGAGTTCCTGACCACCAGGTAACACAGAGGCCTGGGTGGCACCACCCCGGGCAGCACTGTCAGGGTGCACTAAAATGATGTCTGTGAAATTCATTATTTTTATAAAACGTATGCCAAAGTCAATAGACTCCTGGTGTGGCGCTGTAGGATCAGCACTGGACTGCAAACCACAAGGTCAGCAGTTCAAACCCACCAATTGCTCCTCAGAAACCCTGTACAGGGTCTCTATGTGACTGACTCTATGGCACTTAATAGCAACGCACTCAGCGCGCTTAGGGCCCAGCTGACTTTCTTATCCAATCACAGTGACTCCTGTGATCACCTGGTTTCATCTGCTCGCACTACAGCGCTGGTTTCTGTCTCCATTGCTGCCTGTGTGTTGATGATAGTCGCTGTTTTTGCCAAGTTTTCTGGTGTTTTATTATGTGTTTTTGAGTTTTCCGTTGTTTTTGCTGTCATATTGTGGTAATCAGTATTTGTGAGCTTTTACAATAGCAGTTTTGAACATGAAGGAGTCATTAAAGGAAAAAGAAGGGGGAAAAATTAAGTAAGGCTGCTGAGTTACTAATAAGGTAACTCAATGTAGGAAACATTTCACAAAACAATGTTGTTAGTATTCATGCAGCATCTAAGAAAAACTACATTTAAGCTATTTACATCTATATTGAGCACGTTGTTCTGTGACTAACAGAAAACTGTGTGATAAATATAGATTATAAATTACATTTTGTATAATTTATATTTTATATCAACTACATATTATGTAAATAAATAGTGATATATGGCTGTTGTTTGAGTGCCATTGAGTCGGTTCTGACTCATAGTGACCCTCTATAGATAGGGTCGTGAGTTTGAATGGCCAGCCTTGCTGTCCAGTGCATTACCCTGCAACATCATCAATAGGTATTATTCTGTGTTTGGGATCCTGATGTGGTGTATAGGATAACCACTGAACTGCTAACCTCAAGGTTGGCGCTTCAAACCAACGAGCTCTTTCTTAGAAACCCTCTACAGAGTTACTGTGAGTCGGAAGCAACTTGACGACACTTCACAACAATTCTGTGGTTACAATTGATTGTTTATTGTTAAGTGCTGTAGAGTGGATTCTAACCTACAGCAACCCTGCACAGGGTTTCCGAGGCTGTAAATCTTTACTGGAGCAGAAAACCTCACCTTTCTCTCATGGAGCCGCTGGTAGTTTCAAACTGCTGACCTTGAGATTAACAGCCCAATTCATAACCACTTTGCTACCACAGGGCCTAAAATTGATAGTTGTTGTT